TCTGACTCCTTAAGGAACTATTTTAAGGGGAAAAAATTACAGCATAGCCCAACTCAGAGGAAAAAAGTGAAGCTTTATCCAGGTTTTAGTGTTGTGTTGAGGGAAAGAGAAAAAAAGGTGCAACAGCCTTTGAAGATTCAATAAAAAAGATCAGGGACTGGGAGTGTAACTGAGCAGTAGAGTGCAAGCCTGAGGCCCTGGGCTCCATCCCCAGTACTGCAGAAAAAAGGTCTGCTGTGAAGAGGAGGTGGCTGGAAGGGGGCATGTAGTGAGAGATTTTTTTGGGGGGGTGGGGTGGGGTGGTGCTGTGAGGAAGAGTTAGAGGATGAAGATTAAAGAAGTGAGCAGGAATAATTGAGAGTTGTCCCTGAGGGCGAAGGAGAGGAAACCTTTAGACCTTGGTAGAGCACTTGCTTAGCACATATGAGGCACTGGGTTTGATTCTCAGCACCATGTAAAAAAATAAATAAAGATATCTTGTCCATATACTACTAAGAATATTAAAAAAAAAAAAAACTTAACATAAATGAGTGCACAGAAGCAGTGGAGACTGAGGTGGAACAGAATGTGAAACTGCCACAGGCCAGTGTCCAGCCATCTTATGGAGGTTTATCTCACCCACTGCTCTGTGCTATGCAGTGTCCTCTCCTGGGAGGGACACACTTTTCTCACCCCTGCCTGGGGCTCCATGTACAACTTAGTTTGGACAGTGGGGCATGAGGAAATGCGCCACATGCCAGGTTTGAGGAGAAGTTTTTAAGAGTTTGTGGTTTTCTCTACCTTTGTTCTTTACTCTCTGCCATGAGAACAGTGTGTCCCAGATAGTTCTTTCAGTCTGGATTTTAGAATAAAATCACATAAATCAGAACTAGAGCCAACACCACCATCAGAACTAGAACCATTAGAGAGGAATAAACCTCTGTTGTTAAGCCAGGTGTGTTGGAGGCACCTGTAGTTCAGCACTCTGGAGGCTAAGTGGGAGGATTACTTGAGCCCAGAAATTCAAGATCAGCCTGGGAAACAGTGAGATCTCATCTCAAAAACAAAACAAAAGCTTATGTTGTCATGGGCAGGTGGGATTTTGAAGCCCTTGTCACTACAGCAAAATTGACTAATAAAGACATTCAAATAAATTACAATTATACTGAGATTTTTTTTTTTTTTTTTTGCTGTGTTAGAGACTGAACTGAGGGCCTTACACATACCAGTGAGCCATACCTTCAGCCTTGAGGTATCATTTTTTACTCCTCATTTCAAATGCTCAACAGCATACTCTCTTGCTGAGGCTGAGCACACAGGCATTTTCATATATGATACCTTTGTGGATATTGGCAATCCCTATCCAACTCAACCCTGCAGATGGCTATATTGAAAAAGAAGACAGGGCTGAGGATACAGCTGAGTTGGTAGAGTGCTTGTCTCCCGCATGCACAAGGCCCTGGGTTCAGTCCCCAGCACCACATAAACACACACACACACACACACACAAAAGAAGAAGATAATAACATATTAGCGAGGATGTGAAGAAACTGGAACTCTCATACATTACTGGTGGAAACTATGAGGTGGTACAGCCATTTTGAAAAACAATTTGGTAATTCCTCAAAACGTTAACTATAGTTACTATATGACCCAGTAATTTCACTATCAGATATGTATCCAGTAGAACTGAAAACATGTCTATTCAAAAACTTGTAAACAAATATTCCCAGCAGCATTATTTATAATAGCCCAAAGGTGGAAACAATTGAAATATGCAAGAACTGGTAAAAGGATAAATAAAATGTTGTAGCAGGGCATGGGGGCATACACCTATAATCCTAGCAGCTCAGGAGTCTGAGGCAGGAGGATCATGACTTCAAAGCCAGCCTCAGCAACTTAGTGAGGCCCTAAGCAATTTAGCAAGGCCCTGTCTCAAAACAAAGGACTGGGGGTGTGAGTCAGTGGTTAAGTGCTCCTGGGTTCAATCCCAGTACCCCCCAAAAAAAGAAAGAAAGAAAAAAAAGAAAAAAGATGGATATGATTCAGTCATAAAAAAACAATGAAGTACTGATACACACTATGATGTGGATGAACCTTGACTACATTATGCTAAGGAAAGCTCCTTGCAAAAGGACCACATAATGCTAGACACAGTAGTGAAAGCCTGTAATCCCAGCAGCTCGGGAGGCTGATGCAGGGGGATCTTGACTTCAAAGCCAGCCTCAGCAATTTAGCCAGGCCCTAAGCAACTCAGTGAGACCCTGTTTCTAAATAAAGTATAAAAAAGGGCGGGGCAGGGGGGGTGCACAGAAGTGGTTCAGTGGTTAGGTACTCCTGAGTTCAATCCATGGTATCAAAAACAACAAAACAAAACAAAAAACCCCACATAGTGTATGATTTCTTTTATGTGAAATGTCCAGACTAGCAAAGCTGTAGAGATGAAAAATAGATAAGTAGTTGCCAGAGATTGGGGTGGGAGGAACAGGGAGTGACTATTATTGAGTTTTTCTTATTGAGATGAGGAAAATGTCCTGGAGTTAGTGGTGATGGTTGCACAAGTTTGTGAATATATGAAAACCACTGAATTGTGTACTTTAAAGAATTATTTTTTGTGGTAGGTAAGTTATATCTTAATCAAATCATAATATTAAAAAATGAGAAAGTTCTAAATGTACTGATATGATAAGAGCACCTATATTTTATTAACTGAAAAAAGCAAGGTACAGAAGAATGATTATGTACTAACTTTTGTATGAAGAGAGAGAAAATAAGAATATATTTTACATTTGTTAGTATTTGCCTTAAAAATTCTAGTGATTTCCTGTGTGAGTGGGAGTGAGACTGGGTCACATAGAATGAGATAGGAATTAGATTTTTCATTAAACTAGGTGTAAACTAGGTTCCTTCCTGGAACTCCACTAAAGTTGCATCAGTAGAATTTTAAATCTGGAAATATAACAAGAAAATGGTCAGGAGGCAAGAGTTATCAATTGCCTCCTGTCCATTTTCTTTTCTTTTTTTTTTAATATTTATTTTTTAGGTGTAGATGGACACAACACAATGCCTTTATTTTTATGTGGTGCTGAGGATTGAACCCGGGTCCCACCCATGTGAGGCGAGCGCTCTACTGTTGAGCCACAATCCCAGCCCCCATTTTCTTGTTGTATTTCCAGAAAAGCCTATTGGCTCATTTTAGTCCTCACCCAATCACCTGTCAGCAATGCCACCAGTCAGTACAGCTATCACTCAGCATTAATTGCCTTTTTATAGAAGCTAGAAGGCAGAGGAGAAGTGTAGCCAATGTCAGAAAGTCAAAGCCAGTATGTCTGTAGGGGCCCAACGGGAAACAAGCTGGTTCTTGGGGCAGAAGCCCAGAAAGGCTCAGGAATGAAAAAACACCAGCTCTTTTGGGAGGCCAGAGGAGGGCACAGCCTAAAACTTGCCGGAGAGCAGGGCAGTTAGGGGCTTAACCTGGCTTAACCCTACACTGGCTCTGTGTCCTGGACAAGTTACACAGTATCTCTGAAATTGTTTCCTCCTTTAAATGTGAGTAGTAAGTTTACCCTGAATGGTCATGGAGGTTAGCACACAATGCATTGTAAGTACATGGTATCTGGTTAAGTATTAAAATGGGGCCTATTTTTTGTTTATATTTGAGATACTAGGGATTGAACCCAGGGCCTTGCATATGTTAGGCAAGCTCTCTTCCACAGAGCTCTACCCCTCGCCTCGGGGCTTATTTTTATTAGCCTTTCAACCTCCATACTCCATGCTACCACTGTCAGGAGCTGACAGGAGAGCTGGCGAAGGACCGTGTCCTCCATTCTCCAGGCCTGTGGCTCTCTGGTTTTCTCCAAACCCAGTCTACTTAGGAAATGTGTAAGAGTTGGACCACCTGCTCCCTTGACCCTCCGTTAACTAGTGTGAATTTCCGTGGCTATTGACAGTCAAGTACATCAGAGCAGCCCACATTAAGGAAGTAGGCCCGATTCTAGATTCTCTCTTTTTTTTTTTTTTTTTAAGAGAGAGAGAGAGAGAGAGAGAGGGAATTTTTTAACATTTATTTTTTAGTTTTCGGCGGACACAACATCTTTGTATGTGGTGCTGAGGATCGAACCTGGGGCGCACGCATGCCAGGCGAGCGCACTACCGCTTGAGCCATATCCCCAGCCCTAGATTCTCTTCTTGTTCATGTCCTTTCATCTGGAAATTTCCTCCAGGCCTTGGTGTTTGTTCCTCTCTCCATAGCCATCTCTCTCTGAACATCTCTTCCTTGGGGAATGGAGCCTTTCACAAGGCTTCATCTATCCCAACTCCTAAATCGCCTTTAGTTCTTGCATCTCATCGGAATTCTAGATCTGACCATCTACCTATGCATATCTGTAGTCCCAGGAAGTCTCCACTTGGCTGAGTACTTCTAAGAAATCACTGTTTTAATTTTCATCCAGTTTCTTCTTTCTGCATCCATATTTGTTTTAAGCGTGCCATTTTCTCTGTCACGCAGGCATGAACATCCAGGTTCATCTTTGACTTTTCCAATGTACATTCTCTGAGTGTTGAATTAACTGTACTCCAGGGAATGACTGAGGCTGCAATTTCTTCTCTCTTCCCTTTCTTACTCATCCCACCCTTATTCAAGTGTGGATCACCTCTTGCCTGGCTTACTGCAACACCCTGTCAATTCTTCTGCATCATGCTGTTATAAATTGGTCTATTAGTCTTCTGAGAGTATCAATTTTTTCACATCCCTTGCCAAAGAATCTTTCACATCTCATTTTCTATAGGACGAAGCTTACATTTTCTGGCCTGGCTGGCAGGAAAGACTTGCCATGATCTCACCCAACTCTGCCTACTCTGCCTGCTCTGCCTTTGCTCCCATATTCCAGCCAGCAGTGCCTTCACTGACCCTGGCCCTGCTCACTGCCCACGCAAGCTCCTGGCATTCCTCTCCCTGCCCCAGTGCTCCTCTCTCCCTCCCTTTCTCCCTCTTCCCCCATCTCTCTCTTTGTTTTTTCCAGACAGGATCTTGCCTTGTTGCCCAGGCTGGCCTCAAACTCCTGGCTCAAGTGATCCTCCGGCTTCAGCGTCTTTGAGTAGCTGGGACTGTATGTACCTGCCACCAAGCCCAACTCTTTCTCCTCCCTTTCGCCCATCCCATTTCTCCTGCCCACTCTCAAGATGTAGCTCCCATCTTCTATGAGTCTTTCCCAGTCTTCAGCCTCCTGGGTTTCCTTTCCTGATTCTGAGGACACTTAGGGTTAGGACCCAGCTGCACCCTGAGCTGTAACTGTTGCGTGTGTGTCTGTGTGCTCCTGCAGGGTCAGAAACTGAGGATTATACTCAAGTAATGGAATTCTCCCTCAGTGGAACCTCCTTTCCTTCCTGCTGTAGGAGAGGGCTTCAGAAATCAGAACAGTTCAGAGAAGACGGCATTAGGGTGCAAAAGAGATTGTCCTCTGAGGCTTGCCTAAACCATTTTGCCTCCATGGCTGAGGCCCCCTCACTTCTGCTCTGCCCCCTACCCTGCCCACTGCTCTCTTCCCACTTCAGACGTCCCCCACACCACCGGTCTGTCCTCTTGAATTCCTGGTGGGAATCCCCCCTTCAATACATTCAGGCTCTGTGCCCCTCAGTCCCTAGGTTAATGTGCCACCTGTTTTTGCCCTTCTCCCCACCGGCCCCCACCACCTCTGTCAGCTAATGATTATTCAGGGAACTTAACCTGCTGTCCCTGTCCCAAATCTGTGAAAGTTCTCTTTCGGGCAAGGGTCATGAGAGTTGTGCCATGGCCATGTGACTGCTGGTTTCATCCCACTCCCTCTGTTGTCTTGGTCCTACTATTCTGAAAAGCTAATTGTGTACCTTGTGGCCAGCTCACCTGAACAGAGACTTGAGCAGAAGGTAAGCTTTTCCTCTTTGCTTTTGGTGGACAGTGGCCACTGATTCCACTCACTCAGCATTAATTGCCTTTTTTCTCTCCCTCCTGTGTCCCCTGACTTTCTCCCTGGATGCTGACACTTACTTTGTATACTGGAGGCTGGGACTGGGCACCAGTGCTTGGAGGGTCTTGCTGGTTAGGTCTGGGTGGGGTGTAGCACAGGCTGAATGGAGAATGACTCCTACTCTGCTCACAGAACTTACCTGATGGCTGATTCAAAACTGCTCCCTTCCCCTGGTGGGGACCCTGTGGCTGTGGAAACCTTGCTCCAGGACGTATTTGGGATTGTTGTGGATGAGGCCATTCGGAAAGGGACCAGTGCTTCTGAGAAGGTGGGTTAGTGGAGGTTGGTCAGCAGCTTAGCAAGGCCCTGAGCAACTTATCGAGACCCAGTCTCAAAGTATAACATTACAAGAGCTGGGGAGATAGCTGTGTGGTAAGGGCCCCTGGATTCAATCCTCCATACCAAAAAATAAGAAAAGAAATTTGCATAGTGGGTCTTAGGTTTATTTACCCTTGTTCATGTATCATTTTGAAACTATTCTTGAATTGTTTTAAGGGCAGGTTGGTAATGTCCTATGTCTTCTGGAGCAGCGAGTCCTCAGGGGCTGAGGTCCCTGCATCCCTGGTTTCTCCTCCCAGGTCTGTGAGTGGAAGGAGCCTGAGGAGCTTAAGCAGCTGCTGGATCTGGAGCTGCAGAGCCAGGGCGAGTCACAGGAACAGATCCTGGAGCGTTGCCGGGCTGTGATTCGCTACAGTGTCAAGACTGGTGGGCCTGGGTTCTGAAGGGAGGAGTCTCCAGCATTTGTACCCAGCTGCACGCTGAGTCCCCTCCCCTGCTCCCCTCTCTCCAGGTCACCCCCGGTTCTTCAACCAGCTCTTCTCAGGGTTGGATCCCCATTCTCTGGCTGGGCGCATTATCACTGAGAGCCTCAACACCAGCCCGTGAGCCATCCCACACCCCTCCCTCCAGCCCACAGAGGACTCAGATTTGCTGGGGAGGTGCCTTAGAGATAGGGGAGAAGAATGGGTTTTGCCCCTCTATACCATTTTCTGGGAATGCCTGTTGGCAGAGTTTTTTCCTTCTGTCCTTTCGGCTCCAATTCCCCAAGCTTTCTCATGTGTCCTGACTCTAGTTTTTTCTCATCGGTGCTTTGCTGGTTCTTAGTCACCAACTCTTTCTCCCTGGGGACCCTTCCTTGGTTATCTCACCACCTTCTCTCTCTGACTCTAGTAATTTAAGAGCCTGAACTGGCAGTCCCTCCTGTTTCTTCCCCTTTCTCATCATTGCTCTTCTGGCAGGTACACATATGAGATCGCCCCTGTGTTTGTACTCATGGAAGAGGAGGTGCTGAAGAAACTCCGGGCCCTGGTGGGCTGGAGCTCTGGGGATGGGGTCTTCTGCCCTGGTATGTGAGGAGGAGGGGAACTGTAGGGTTCCTCCTCCCACACCATTCTCTTGCTCTAATCTGCTGTCTGGGAGGGGTGATTCCTCTTTGTTTCGTTTCCAGCTGGGCCAGGGCCAGACCAGCAAGGAGGCTGCCCAGTCCCCTTTACCCTGGTGTTTGCCAACAGTCCCTGGGATGCCTGCTCTGGGGCAGGGGGTGAGGGACTCTCTCCAGGGGCAGTCTTGGGTGTGGAGGGGGTGATCAGGAGAATCTGCTGAGTCCGGGTCTGTTCTGGGTTCTCGTGCCATTTGTAGATCCCTGGGAATTTGTGGCCTGAGAGCCAGTCACACGTATTGCTTTGGTCAGTTATTCTGGGTGGAAAGTTCTGGGGAAGCAAGCTCCATTCTGACTCACCATCCTTCCCTCTTGCCATCACTCCCTCCTTATGACAGGTGGTTCCATCTCCAACATGTATGCCATAAACCTGGCCCGCTATCAGCGCTACCCAGACTGCAAGCAGAGGGGCCTCCGGGCACTGCCACCATTGGCCCTCTTCACATCAAAGGAGGTGGGGAAGAGTATAGACCCAGCCCTGGGATTCTGATTCTAATCTCTAGCCACCTCAATCAGAGCCCCTTCAGATTCTTTTCCTGCCCTACCCTGTCCCTAAGAGGATGTGCTTCTTTCCAATCAAGGGGGCCATGTTCATTTTTTCTTTTGGTAGGAGAGTAGGACAGGAGCAACAAGTGCAATGGACACGGTTCACACTTTTACTCAGAGTATGGTCATGGGCCAGCAGCATTGACATCACCTGGGAGCTTATTAGAGAAGCCGAAGCTCAGGCCTACCCGGATCTACTTAATCTGAATTTGTGTTTCAACCAGACACCCAGGCAATTCGTATATATAAAAAATTGGAAAGCTCTGGCCTCTGGGGTCCTATCTATTGCAGCTCATACTTGACATTTTCCAGACTTTCTTCTCCCCATCCACCCTGCCTTCTGGTCCCTAGCCCAGGTCATGCTAACCTGCCATCTACATTCTTCAACAGTGTCATTACTCCATCAACAAGGGAGCTGCTTTTCTGGGACTTGGCACTGACAGTGTCCGAGTGGTCAAGGCTGATGAGAGGTGAAGGTCCTGCCGACATGGCCCTGACCCAGCTTGGCATAGTGTACCTCCCTGCTGCCAGAAAACTCTGGCCTCAGGCCTGTATCCCTGGTGGATTTCTCTCCCCTCACTCTTCCTGTAGAATTGCTGCTCCTGCTTCCCAGTGCCTGCCAAAGTTTCCTGCCCTGTGCCCTCAGACTTGTAGAGTATTATGGCTTCTGCATTGCCAACCTTACCTTATCATTCTTCAACAGAGTAATGCCTCCTAGCCTAGAGGACCTATAACTTCTCCACTCACTCATTTTTCTTTTTCAGAGGGAAAATGATCCCTGAGGATTTGGAGAGGCAGATCAGTCTGGCTGAAGCTGAGGTGAGTGGAATGGGACCACTCTGTCCCATCTCTGGACAGTTATTTGGGCTCCCCCTGTTCATCACCCTTCATGCCTCTCCTCATCTCCATGCCCTTTTTGCAGTGGGCTGAAGGCTGATGGGCAAGAACACCATGTTGCTGTTGGGGACTCTGCCGAGACATGAAGGCAGGGTGGGATTCTCAGAGATGGGACTGGATGGCTGAGGCAGCACTGCAGGCAGGTGTTAGCAGCCTGGAGCATAGTGTGGAAGGTTTCTGTGTGCTGGGGGTCAGGGCTGGGAGAAGCTGAGGAGGATGTGCTAGCTATGCTCATGGGTACAGGTCAGGGTGTCCACTTAGGGTGGACTGCTGAAGCTACCAGGGACAGTGTAGCTGTACACTGGGGACAGCATTTGGGTATGAGCTATATGATTTTTAAATGTATCTGCTGATTCAGAGTTCCAATGCTTAGAATTTGTGCTGTCAACCATCATCACAAGTGTATAGAATTCTGTGCATGAGAATGTTTCCTGGAACGAAGTATACATCAGTAGATAAATTATTGTATTATCTATTTCTTATTTTGTAAAATGGAAATACTGCAGAACTTACCACAGAGGGTAGTTGTAAGGGTTAAATGAATTAGTATGTCAATGTAGCCATTTTAAAGAATAAGGTAGGATTGGGCTGAGGTGTAGCTTACTTGCCTAGTATGCATGAGACCTTGGGTATGATTACTAGCATTGCAAAAAATAAAAATAAATTGGGTTTGGTGGGTATGGTGGCACACACCTGTAATCCCTGCAGTTTAGGAGACTGAGACAGGAGAATTGCAAGTTCAAAGCCAGCCTTAGCAACTTAGCAAGGCCCTTAGCAATTTAGCAAGACCTTGCCTCAAAAAAAAAAAAAAGAAAGAAAAAGGAAAAAGAAGAAAAGAAAAGAAAAATTAAAAAGGGAAAAGAAAAAGGGCTGGGGATGTGGCTCAGTGGTTAAGTTCCCCTGGGTTCAATCTCTGGTACCACAAAAAAAAAAAAAAAAAAAAGAAAGAAAGAAAAAGAAAAGAAAATAGGCCAGGTGCAGTGGCGCACACCTGTAATCTCAGCTACTCAAGAGGCTATGGCAAGATGATTGCAAGTTTTGAGTTCAGCCTGGGCAGCTCAGTGAGACACTGTCTCAAAATAAGAAATTAAAAATGACAGGGATGTAGCTCAGTGATAGGAACACCCTTGGGCTTGATGCACAGTACTGCAATCAATCCGTTAATCATCAATCAATAAAAATAAGAGAATAAAGTAGGAAAAGCATATAAACTAACATGAAAATACCTCCACTATATATATAAAATATATATTGCAAGCTTAGTATACAGTGAACACTGTAGGGCTGTTTTTGTTATTCAGAACAGTATGTATTTATCCTGTTGTCACAATACCAATTATTTCATTTCTTTTTGTGACCAAATAACATTCCATTGTATGGATATATTACATTTTATGTATTCATTCGTCAGTTGATGAATGGTTGACTTATTTTCATTTTTTGACCTATTATGAATAACACTGCCATGAACATTTACATATAGACTTTTATGTGAACATGTTTTTCATTTCTCTTAGTTATATACCTAGGAATGGAATTGCTGCGTCATATGGTAACTATATTTAACCTTTGAGGAATTGTTAAACTGATTTTTTTATATTTATTTTTTAGTTTTAGGTGGACACAATATCTTTATTTCATTTTTATGTGGTGCTGAGAATCGAACCCAGTGCCTCATGCATGCTAGGCGAGCACGCTACCACTTGAGCCACATCCCCAGCCCCGCTAAACTGTTTTCCAAAGTAACTATACCAGTTTGCAATTCCAGCAGTAGTATGAAAGTTCCAGTTCCTCCATATACTCACCAGCATTTGGTATTATTTCTTTTTGATTATAGTTACTTGGTGTGAAGTATCTTACTGTAGTTTTGATTTGCATTTCCTTGGTGATTAATAATGTTGAGAATCTTGTCATGTTTTATTGGGCATTTGCACATTTTTAGAGAAGTGTCTCTTTAGATCTTTTGCCCATTTAATTTTCATAGAGCGGGCTGGGGAGGTGGCTTAAGCGGTAGCACGCTCGCCTGGCATGTGTGCGGCCCGGGTTCGATCCTCAGCACCACATACAAACAAAGATGTTGTGTCCGCCGAAAACTAAAAAAAAAAAATAAATAAATATTAAAATTTAAAAAAAAAAAAAAAAAAAAAAAAAAAAAATTTTCATAGAGCATTTATTCCAATAGGGAAGTATGACATTCATATGTATGTAACAGCTGCACATGTGCTGTTAATGTGAAGTGCATAGTGCTCTTTGAAGCTATAATACAGGAGAGTTGACAGAATCAGGTGGTGAGGGAGTCAGGAAAGGCATTCCTCAGAAGTGATGATTGAGCTGGCACCCGCTTGTGATCCCAGTGACTCGGAAGGCTGAGGCAGGAGGATTGCAAGTTCAAAGCCAGCCTCAGCAACTTAGCAAGGCCCTTAAGCAACTTAGTGACATCCTGTCTCAAAATTAAAATAAATAAACAAAGGGGCTGAGAATATGGCTCAGTGGTTAAGTACCTCTGGGTTCAATTCCTGGTACCAAAAAAAGAGTATGATTGAGCTGATACTGGGAGGAAGAAGAATTAACTATATGGTGGATATTGTGGATGGACAAGAACACTCTATGCTTGTGCAGAAGCCATGGGATGTGTCTTCCAAGACAGCTTCCTCTGTTTGCCTGGAGTGTTTCCACCCGCTACCTGTAGCCTTCCCTATCCAAGAGTACTTGCTTGGGGCTGGTGCTGCCTCCACCTCTACTCTCCCTGCCATCGAGGGAGTATTTGAAAGTGTGTGGTGCTGTTTTATTTTGCTTTGTTCTGTGACAGTAACCCAGGGGGCATTATTACATTTACTGAGAAGAAACCAAGGTATTATGTTTTGGATATGGTTTGAATGTGTTCCCTGATGTGCTGAAATTTAATCCCTATTATATATATTTACCACATTTTGCTTATCCATTTATCCATCAGCGAAAACTTGGGTTGCACCTATGATTTAGCAGTTATGAATAATGCTGAAATGAATACAGATGTACAAAATATCTCTTTAAGACCCTGTGCAGGTGGGCATGGTGGTGCATGCCTCTAATTCCAGCAGTTTGAGAGGCTGAGACAGGAGGATCGTAAGTTTAAAGCCAGCCTCGGCAAATTAGCAAGGCCCTGTCTCTAAATAAAAAATAAAAACCAGGCTAGGGATGTGAATCTGTGGTTAAGCACCTCTAGGTTCAATCCTTGCCCCCCCAAAAAAGACCCTGTGTGTTAGTCCATTTTTCTTTACTATAATGAAATACCTGAAACTGAGTAACTTTATAAAGAGGTTTATTTTGGCTCTCAATTCTAGTCTAAAGTTCAAGGCTCAAATTGGGTGATGATTTTTTTTTTGCTGGCAAAACACCAAGGCAGTATAGGGCATCACATGATGAGAGCTAGGAGCATGTTTTTGTTTCTTCCAGTCTCCCTCTTATAAAACCATCGAGATTCAATCATGGGGCTGTACCCTGATAACCTTATAAAATCCTAATCACCTCTAGAGACCCCCACCTCTGAACACCATAGGTTCAACTTCTACCCTTTTAATATCTTACAATGGGCATTATTTATCAACACATGAATCCTTAGGCGGAGGGTGGGTGTGGTGTTCAAACCATAGTGTATCCACACCGTAACGCTTTACTTTAAATTTGGTAGGAGCACATACCCCGAAGTGGAACTGCCCTGCTTCTTTCTACAGCAGCTGTACCATTTCACCAATGGTACATTATTTTACAAGGTTCTTGCATATGCTAGGCAAGTGCTCTACCACAGAGCCACAACCCCAGCCCCTCAAGTCTTTTTACTTTTTATTTTGAGACAGGTCTCCCTAAATTGCCCAAGATGACCTCAAACTTGAGATCCTCCTGCCTTAAGTTCCTGAGTAGCTGTGATTACAGGTGTACACCACTGTACTTGACTCAGAAGTTATACATTTTGATGAAGTTCAGTTGATCTATTTTTTTCTTTGGTTGCTTGTGCTTTTGGAATCATAGCTAACCTAACTCATACACACAAATGTTGCTCCTATATTTTCTTCTAAGAGTTTTGTTGTTTTAGTTATTACATTTAGGACTTTGATCTGTTATGTGTTAATTTTGGGGGATGATGTGAGAAAGACATTCCTGCCTACAAATTAAAGAGGACAGTAATGCAGTGTTGTAAAGTTGAAATGGACAAGGTCGGGTATGGGAAGAACTTATCACTGGGTCCCAGCACCAGGCTAAATCCTCTAAATCCTCTTTTCACAGGGTGCTGTGCCATTCCTGGTCAGTGCCACATCTGGCACCACTGTGTTGGGAGCCTTTGACCCCTTGGATGCAATTGCCGATGTGTGCCAGCGTCACGGACTGTGGTTACACGTGGATGTGAGTGAGACTTGGATCTTGTGGGTGGGGTGGGGTGAGCTGAGCTGAGGCCAAGACCCACATTGTTCCTCCTGCTCCACAGGCTGCCTGGGGTGGGAGCGTCCTGCTGTCACAGACACACAGGCATCTCCTGGATGGGATCCAGAGGTGCATATGGCTCCCTTCTGCCCGAACCCCAGCCTTCCAATCCTTGATCCTCAGAATAGTCATGGAGTGGGAACTTAGGGTGGGGTAGGGGAAGGAGGGTACTGGGATACAGATGGAGATGGGAATGGTTGATCTGGGCTGGAAAGTCAGACATGGGAATTCTTCCTGACTGCTGGGGTGGGGATGAGACCCCTCTACTGGTGGTCTGGAAGAGAACGGCTCTGGCTAGGCAACTTGAGGAGGAGCCACTGACCTGGCTTTGCTCTGCTTTACCCAGGGCTGACTCCGTGGCCTGGAACCCCCACAAGCTCCTCGCTGCAGGACTGCAGTGCTCTGCTCTTCTTCTCCAGGATACCTCGGTGGGTCTTTCCCAGTCCTTGGCCTGGCCCTGGCCTATGTCCTTTTTGGAGTCCTGTCTTCTTCTCTATCCCACTTTAGAGGGGGACCAGGCCTTACTTTGTCCCCTTTACCATCTCACCTGCCACCACCCTACCCCTACATTGGGAGCCCTCATGCAAAGGAGAAGATAGGCAGCTTAAAGTTGCAGTCCGAGGGATCCTGGGAAAGTTTGGGAAGAGCTCTGCATACTGGAGAAAGCCCAGAGAAATGGGTCCAGTTAACTGGCAGTTGTTCCATGGTGCTGCCTGGTTCCAGCGCAGGCATGGGTAGACTGAGCTAAAGACCCTTAGTGTTGCACTAGGGGAGAGCCTGGGTGGAGCCACGGGGGTCTGACAACCTCTTCCCCACATAGAACCTGCTCAAGCGCTGCCATGGATTCCAGGCCAGCTACCTCTTCCAGCAGGACAAGTTCTACGATGTGGCTCTGGATACGGGTGACAAGGTGGTGCAGTGTGGCCGCCGTGTAGACTGTCTGAAGCTGTGGCTCATGTGGAAAGCACAGGGTGGGCAAGGGCTGGAGCAGCGTATCGACCAGGCCTTTGCTCTTGCCCGGTAGGCAAGGGGGGTCCCAGATCCCCTCCCAGGGTCTACCCTTCCTCCATTTCTGCCCTCAGGATTACTTTCCTCCACCTATCTCTGTGGTTCTCTTCAGTTTATATGGTTGTCTTCCCCTCTCCACCTGCAATTTGTCACCCTCTGTTCCCAGGTACCTGGTGGAGGAAATAAAGAAGAGGGAAGGGTTTGAGTTGGTCATGGAGGTATGATCCCATGTTCTTTTGCATCCATCTATCTCAGCGTATTCCACACAGCAAGCTCACATGGAGAAAGAGTGGCGGTGAAAGGGAAAATGGTCCTCCTTTCTCAGCTCATACCTTCCCCTTCCTTATTTCCCTCAGCCTGAGTTTGTCAACGTGTGCTTCTGGTTCGTGCCTCCCAGCTTGCGGGGGAAGCAGGCCAGTCCACAATACAGCCAAAGGCTGTCTCAGGTAGGCTTTGTCTGGCTCTGGGTAGCCCTGCTAAGGGAACTGATGCAGCTGGTGCACTTCTGCCCCCTGCTGGCCATTCCTGATATGGGCGGTCCCCCTATTGGTCTCTTGCTCCTGAGGGGCTAGGTAACTGGAAGACAACACAAGCTTGTCCTTTTTGTGGGGGGCTGGGGGAGAAGGGGATAGGAATAAGATATGTTTTGGGGAAATAAGATGACAGAAAGGAGCATCACAGGAGAACCCAAAAAAGTTAGTGTGCAGCACACAGACCCCTGTGCTAGGGTCTGTGCTGGGAACTCAGGCCCAGGTCAGAGATATATAAGGTAGAAATAACAGGAAGAGTCTTTTCAATGATGCCGGGGACAGAGAAACACAGAAAGGCCAATTTGATATGCCTTCTAGAGGCAAGGAAGTATGTTCTGTCTGGTCCCTAAGAATGGGTTAGTACTAGGTGCTACAGATAATCTGAAAGGACAAGAATCTTCTTGCCCTCATGAAGTTGTTATTGTGGAAAGCAAGAATTACTGTTTGAAGCCAATATTTCAAGGTGGTTTTGTAAATTACACGCTAGATCACATGGCACAGATCAGATATTACAGGATCCAGGAGTGGTGGCACACACTTATAATTGGTGTCTCTGGAGGCTGAAGCAGGAGGATCACAAGTTTGAGGCCAGCCTCAGCAACTTATCAAGACTCTGTCTCAAATTAAAAAATAAAAAGTACAAAAGGACTAGGATGTAGCTCAGTGGTAAAGTACCCTTGGGTAATCCCTGGGAAATAAAAAAGACAGGAACCAGGAAAGGGGGGAAGAAGACATTCAGGATGACTAAGTTTGAAGGTAGACTGAAGCAGGGTTGAAAATCAGGAAAGTCAGGATTTAGCATGAGACCTGTCCTACAACTATCTTGTAGGTAGGAGAAATGAGGAATAAAGCAGAAGGTAGAGAAGGCCAACCAAGTTGGATGAGGTGGAAAAAGTAAAGTGGGGCCAAGGTGAGGGTCTAAGCAGTGAAGGTATTTCCAGAAGATGGCTGGGTGGGAGGGAAAAACAGCTCTGAGAGCCGGGTAGTCCAGGTAGCTGGCCCATCTTCTCACCTGACCCCATGCTACAGCTGGACTCTTTATTGCTCCCATAGGTAGCCCCTGTGCTCAAGGAGCGCATGGTAAAGGAAGGCTCCATGATGATCGGCTACCAGCCCCATGGGACACATGGCAACTTCTTTCGAATGGTGGTAGCTAACCCCACTCTGACCTGTGCTGATATAGACTTCCTCCTCAACGAGCTGGAGCGGCTAGGCCAGGACCTATGAGCCTTCTTCCTCTAGAAGCCTCAGTGCCACCCCTCACCCCACTGAGTCTCTCTGCATTGCCTCCTGCGTTCTCAAAATAGCCTCTCTAGGAAACAAAGTAGGCTTAAGCTATTAGGAGAATGTTTAAATAACTATATCCATAGGATGCAAGGTTATTCTTTCATTAAAATTATATTTACAAAGAATTTTTATTAATTGAGAAAAATAATATAATGTTATGTTGAAAAAGCTGGATATAGGACTATATAGTAATGAGCAATGTTCAGAAATACATAGGAAAAGGCTGATGAATGAACTATGCCAGAGTTTGTTTTCCCTGAGATGAGATAATAGGCAATTTTAAAATTGACCCCTTTATACTTTTGTGCCTTCTCCTTTTACTATGTAATGAATATGCATTATGTAATAGGAACATAATAAAATTAAAATTTCAAGTATACTACTGATATGTTTTGAAGTTTATTCTAACCAAATAATGGAGAACTTTAAACAAAAGGCAGGGGTCTGGGGTTGTGGCTCAGTGGTAGAGCGCTTGCCTTGCATATGTGGGCACTGGGTTCAATCCTTAGCACCACATAAAAATAAATAAATAAAATAAAGGTGTGTGTTCATCTCCAACTTAAAAAAAAATCAAAACATAAGAAAGACTAATAAAGGAACACTTATTCCCCCCCCAATTTTTTTTGGGGGGGGCACTGGGGGTTGAACCCAGGCATGTTTAATCACTAAGCCACATCCCTAGCTCTTTTTATTTATTTTTTTATTTCTCTTTATTTTCATTTTTTGGTACTGGAGAATTAATCCAGGGGCACTTTACTACTGAGCTATTTCCCCAGTCCTTTTGTTTTTTATTTTGAGACAGGATCTCACTGATTTGCTTAAGGTCTCACTAAATAGCTAAGGCTGTCCTTGAACTTGTAATCCTCATGTCTCAGCTTTCCGAGGCGCTGGGATTATAGGTGCACCACCACACCCCACTCCCCCAAAATCTTTAGGGGAAAAGTCTAATTGTTCTTTGGTGACATTAAAGACAAAATGGGCACTGATTGTGTCTTGAGACCAGAGCCTTGTCTACTTCCCACCCTTGAAATAGCCTTATAAACAATGTAAAGGAAATTTAAAAGAATAACACCTGGGGCTGGAGATGTGGCTCAGTGGTAAAGTGCTTGCCTGGCATGCATGAGGTACTGGGTTTATTCCCCAAGCACCAAAAAAAAAGGATAACAAGCTGGATGTGGTAGCTCACACCTATAATCCCAGATGCTGGGAAAGCTGAGGTAGAAGGATCAGAAGTTCCAGACTGGTCCTGGCAGTTTAGCAAGATCCTCAGCAACTTAGCAAGACCCTGTCTCAAAATGAATACAAAGGGCTAGGGATGTAGCTCAGTGGTGAAATGGCCCTGGGTTCAATCCCTAGTACTGTAAAAAACAAAACAAGAAACAAAAATAACAGCAACAACCAACCAGTAACCAAACCACTGTTCTGTCCTCTGGGATTGCCACTATTTGGCATAGAAACATCCACTTAAGGTCCAGGGGTGTAGAATACTTGCCTAATCTGCCTGCTACCCAGGTTCCATCCTCAGCACTGCAAAGAAACAGAAGAAAATATCCCCCTCCCTATTTAACACTTAAAATCCTGGCTGGTGTTGCTTCTCAGTTACTTTTTGGGAAATAATTGAGCTACACAAATTATTAAGGACAAGTGGTTGGAGCTGGGGTGGAGGCTCAGTGGTAGGATGCTTGTCTAGCATGCACGACGTACTGGGTTTGATCCTCAGCACCAATAAATGTAAAATATTGTGTCCACCTAAAACTAAAAAATAAATGTTAAAAAAAAGGACACATGGCAAGACTACCAGAACTTTTTGTTATTTCCAATCCCTAAAAATATCATTTATGAAAACAATAATGTGGTCATGTAGAAGTCATCCAGAATTACTTGAAGAGGCAGGTACAGACTGTACAAACCATAGCAAAAGGACAAGCAAATCAGACCTGATTCTCTTGACCATGTGGGGAAAAAAAAAGTCTATTAGTAAATTACTAGTAATTCCCCTATAAACTTATAATTTTTATATAAATGGTATTTTACTTCCAAATAATAAAATTGTTTTGAGAATATTAATGTGAATTTCAAATTCTAATCTTTAAAAAAAATTATTGTCAAACCCTAATCTAAAAGGATTCTGCATATCTCAAAAATGTCTCAAAATATAGTAAAAAATGGGGGGAGAGGGATCCTAATTTTTAATTCAAGGCAAAGCCATAAAGCAAAAACAAAAACATTTTTGAATTCTTTGAATTATCTCCATTTGAGAAATATTTTTAAGAGAAGTTTAGAAGTACAGGACATAAAAAAGGTAATCACCTATTTTTCTTCAACTTTATGACACTAGTGCTTCTTTCCTCTTCCCAAAATCCAACCTCAAAGTATCTCTCTCCCTCTCTCCCATTCCCTTTGAGTGCCATTGAAGGGCTGATTCCAGCCAAGCACAGTGGTGCACGCCTGTAATCCCAGCGGCTCAGGAGGCTGAGACAGGAGGATCGCGAGTTCAAAGCCAGCCTCAGCAACAGCGAGTTGCTAAGCAACTCAGTGAGACCCTGCCTCTAAATAAGGTACAAAATAGGGCTGGGGATGTGGCTCTGTGGTTGAGGATCCCTGAGTTTAATCCCCCGTCATCCCACCCCCCCAAAAAAGGGGCTGGATATGTGGCTCATTGGTTAAGTGCCTGTGAGTTCAATTCCTGGTACCAAAAATAGATAAATAAATAAGAAGGGCTGATTCCATCTTAGTCATTCTTCACCTGAGGCACATCTCTGCTCTGGTGCCTTTGAACATATTGTCCCTTTTGCTTCATCTACATTATGACCCTAAATTTTTTTTGGATGTCACCTCTCTAGTGAAGCCTTCCTTGAGTGTATAAAATTACATTTCCATCTCCTATTCTTGCTGGTCCTATCCCCTATGTGCCCTATTTTTCTCTAGAGCATGAATAGGCATTTAGCATACTATTTAAGTATTTTTTTTTTATGGGAGGTACCAGGTTTTGAACTCAGGGGCACTCAACCTCTGAGCCACATCCTTAGTCCTGTTTTGTATTTTATTTAGAGACAGGGACTCACTGATTTGCTTAGTGCCTCACTGTTGCTGAGGTTGGCTTTGAACTTGCAATCCTCCTGCCTGAGCCTCTTGAGCCACTGGGATTACAGGTATGTGCCACTACTCCCGGCTCTTCCTAAGTATTTATTTTAAAATTTTCTGTCTCACTCAACTAGAATGCAAGCTATCAGAGCAGAGATTTTATACTGATGCCTCCAGAAATGGTATCTGTTACTTTCTAGTTGGGTACTAGGGCTGACAATGGTTGGTGAACTTCAGGTACTGGTTAACTTACTCTCAGTCATATTACTTTTTTTTTTTTTTCCCCCCAGTACTGGAGATTTAACCCAGGAGTGCTCCATCACTGAGCTACACCTCCATCCCTTTTTTATTTATATTTTGAGAGAGGGTCTTTATAAGTTATCAAGCCTGGCCTAGAACTTGCAGTCCCCCTGCCTCAGCCTCCTGAGTCTCTGAGATTACAGATATGCACTTCAGTCATACAACTTTTAAGTTGTGGAGTCAAAAACTAGGATTATCTCACTTAGTTCTTAACCATATATCTAACCTGCTTCTATTGACAAGTGTATATCATTCAAAGGTGATATATATCATTCATAGGTGTGGTTTTTAGATCTGTTTTATTAATCATGTACTATGTATCTAGTGCTTATGGGAACGATGAGGCACATGAAGGTTTAGTTATCCACTTGCTCTTGTTCTGGGGAAATCGAATTTCCAGCAAACAGGAAAACAAAGACATTGGGCCAAGAGTGGTGGTGCCCTCCTATAATTCCAGCAATTTGGGAGGATGAGGCAGTAGGATCCCAATTAGAGGGTAGCCTCAGTAATGTAGGAAGACCTTGTCTTGAAATTTAAAATAAAAAGGGTTGGGGATGTAACTCAGTGGTAAAGCACCTCTGGGTTCAATTCCCAATGCTAAAAACCAACCAAACCAAACAAAACAAAAGCAAGGAAGGGGTCAAAGTCTTCAGAGGCAGAAGGAAGATGGTGCCCTTCTCAAGGAAGCAAGCCATGCTGGGAAGTTAAAAAGCTGGGGGATGGGGAGATGGGGGGGGTGATGTGGCAGCTGGGTATCAGCCTTTTTATTTTTTTTGAGGAAAGTAGATGAAAACAAACAAGCTACAGTCAAGTCAGTATTTAACTGGATTCTTGGAACTGTTTTTATGCATGCTAGGTCCTCATTTGGCTATTCTTCTTCTGTTTATGTAACTTTAAAAGATATTTTTATTTTGAAATAATTTCAAACTTATTTAAAGTTGCAAAAGTAGTTACAGAGACCACCCCATATGTGTGCTTTTTGTCCAGATTTATTTAGTTTTTTCTGTGTTGGGGACTGAACCTGGGGCTTCACATATGCTTGACAAGTGCTCTACCACTGAGCCATATCCCCAGCCCTCAGACTTATTGATTTTTAATATTTTGACATTTGTTTTATTATGCTCTCTATATATGTACTATATTCATGTTTTTCTGAACTACTTGAGAGTCAGTTACATGTATTATGTCTCTTTGTCTCTTAATACTCTAATGCATACTTCCCAAGAACAAGAATATTCTCTTAAAATAACCATGGTACAGTTACCAAATTCAGGAAATTTAACATTGGCACTCTAAAGTCCATATTCCAAAATTGTCAATTGTCCCAATAACTCCCTTTATAGTATTTTTACCCTCACAAAGATCCAGTCCATGATTGTGTAGTACATTTTGTTTTATTTGAGATTATTCCTTTAATATAAAATAGTTCCTCAGACTTTATTATTTAGTGACAATGACATTAACAACAATATAGTCTGGTTATATTATAGAATATTATAAAATGCTCCTTGATTTTTTTTTTTTTTTGGTTATAGGGTTGCTTAACCACTGAGCCATATCTCCAGCACCTCCCCCTTTTTTAAAAATATTTTTTAGTTGTTGATGGACCTTTATTCATTCATTTATTTACATGTGATACTGAGAATTGAACCTAGTGCCTTATACATGGCGAGGCAAGTGCTCTACTACTGAGCCACAACCCTAGTCCTCCAGCCCTTTTTATTTTTTATTTTGAAGCAGGTTCTCAGTAAGTTGCTGAGGACCTTGCTAAGTTGCTGAGGCTGGCCTCAAATTTGTGATTCTCGGGGCTGGGGATGTGGCTCAAGCGGTAGCGCGCTCGCCTGGCATGCGTGCGGCCCGGGTTCGATCCTCAGCACCACATACAAAGATGTTGTGTCCATCAAAAACTAAAAAATAAATATTAAAAAAAAATTTTGTGATTCTCCTACCTCAGCCTCCTGAGCCACTGGAATTACAGGTGGGTATTACCACACC